CCCTGTTGGGTACTCAGAGTCGTGGTTGGTTGGAGGACTGACAAACGGAGGCAACTTATTGGTCAGATGACAAACTGCCCACTTTTTGCTGGATGGCTGGTTTATTGGCAACTAGAGCCATAAGATGGTGGCAGTTTTGTGGGACTCAGTGGTCTGTCACGCTGATTTGCTTAGATAAGCTCGACCAGCTGGCTGTTTTTTTGCTGGCTTGCTCTGTGTCTTTCCTCCATGACTTTCATTTCCTCACCACACCTGAGATTCTGACTGTGGCATCTGGCTCTCACCCTCCCTATGTGCTGTGAGCCATTGCAGTAAAATGCTATGTTCCTCTCCATCAAATGAGGAGAGCCAGCTAGCCATTTATCTAAGAGTGTGAAATAGCCTGAGGAAAGCACTGCTCTATGAAAGCGCAGAGGAGCGCTGGGGTATCAAGGCCTGAAGGACTTAAATTGGATTCGACACAGCCCCGAACACACAAACTCACTCCTTTTTGACCCTCCTTGTTTGAGATTTCATAACAGATTTATGTTTTTTGCTGCTATAAAACAAATGAAAAATAAAGTCATTAGTCTTTCTATTTCTTACATGCTTCAATCATGCAGGAGTTTGTTATTAGAAAGCAGCACATGGTTTTCCCACCAGGTAAGCAGGTAAGACTGCATGACTCTGAAACAAATAGAAGCCGTATTTAAGTAAGTAAAAAATAGTTCATTTCACTAATGAAGCCAAGACTATTGGAGATGATGCGATGCAAGTCTTTAGTCTAAACAAAGTGAAGTTTATTTTTAATGGGACCATAAATCTCAGTGAAGGCTTATTAAAGAGTAAATGTTTGTTTTGCATTTATTTTGTCTTTCATAAATCTTCTATTTCTCATAATAACAACTCATAAAAATGTCCCCTTGTTTATGTTTCTTGCTCGCTATTAATACAAAAGCAACCATTTACATGGGTGGATCACACATGAGACATATTTCTTTTGGATAATCTACAAACATAAACGTTTAGTATTCAAGAGAAAGAGAAAGCTTTCTGTTTGTTTTACTAAATTGAAATGTTCGCGTGCATCACAAATATCTTATCAAATTTGTCCAGTTTTGAAAAAAGATTATCAGAAAGAGTGCATTTGCATACATAACTTATCAGCTCTCCCCTGCATGCACAAGCGCATATTAGGTTTCCAGACTGGAGCATGAAATAGGTCACGGTATTGTGTTTTTGTATTATTTTATACAACACAGACCCTTGATTTTGTCCCCAAGACAAAGGTTTAACCTTTTAAATATCAAGTTATTAAACTTGGATTTTGGGGGATTAGGTTTGTGTTGGTTGATTGGCTTTCCATATGGAAAAGGGCAGATTCACAACATCGGGTCTGGGTGAGGTCTCGGTCTCTGCAGGAAGACGGGACAATCACTGTCACTTCGTAATAATTGCTATGACAGGATAAATCATGCTGCCAAGTCCAATAAGGCAATGTCTGGCTCCTGAGCAGCCGCTTACATGACAAGATGGGGTTTGAAGCATCTATGCGGCAAATACATGCTGTGAATACTTCCATGCACTTCTGAAACCATGATGATGTGTACAACCCTCGTGCACATTACACAGACATGCTAAGACTGAATGGAGTCTATATTGATAAAAATGATAAGTTTTGTATTTTAGACAAAAAAAGTGATGTGGCAATCTGGGACATCTTTCCAATATGTTTGGAAATAGCCTCTCTAAATCATTTCTTTTTCTTTTTTTTATGCAGCTATCCAGACAATCAGTCCCAGAGTGAGCAAAATGAAATGCTGCTGAAACAGTTTTCAGTCCTTTTAAAATGCCCTGTTTTACTTTCCCTTGACACTTGGTAACACATATTACGCCATACTGCACCATATGTCAAGCGTGTGCCCTCTTGCTGAGTGAGAGCACTGCAAACGAAATGCACCTGGCCATAATCAGGCCCAACAGCTGAGAAAACTATCATTTCAAATATACAAGGGAGACACAATAGATTTTAGATGGTTTTCATTTGCATGTGAATCCTTGAACATTGAATAACATTTAAGAGAATTACAAGCAGAATTGCTAAAAAGAAAAAAAAGATTAAAAAAAACTTTAACAGCACTTTTTATTGTATTGGGGAAAAAAAGAACAAATACATGACCACAACACGTGCTCGCTGAGTGTTATTAATGTGTCAAGCTTACAGGGCACTTGTGGTGTTATTACAGCAGACTGAAGGAACATACCAAAGAAAAAAAATGCACCACATAGTTTTTAGTCACTGCTGCAGTGCACAGGTGCTCACAGGGGACTCATTACCCATTCCTCACATACAGGTACAAATTTGGCAGCGGTTCCAGACTTTTGAAAAAAGATGCCGCATGATGACACCCACGTTTGCTTCCTGACTACATGTGCTTTCCTGACTCATTCCCATTTTCTACAACCAGCCAATCCTCTGCCTTCTGCTTCCACTGGCACGTGCATGCCCAGCATCCGCGAGTGGTCCTGGCATAAGTGTTTTCAGGCATGTTAGTGAATGTAAATTTCTTCTGAATGTGTGGATGTATAGCCTTATGTTGAAATCTTGTCATTTTTAAAAGTTAACATCACTCTGAGGTGATGCAGCACCCAAAGGCTGACATGTGAAATTTCCAAATGTCGCAGCAATATGTTTATAGATTATCTGGTGATAAATTATAGTGGTAGGAGGTAATGCGTGATTAATGGGAGAAAACACTCAAGCTGCTGAATGTGAGTAAAGTCTGCCTGAAGGCAACAAAATGTATTTTGTATAGTTCATTTTTCCTCATGATCTGTTTCTGTTGTCAGTATTTGTATTTGTCTCTGGGTTCACAGACCAGCTGCACTGTGTTTAATTTGAGCGTGGAAAACATTCTTGTTTTTGAATACAAGGAAGACTGGAATGTAGATAATGTTTTATTTAAATGCAAGAATAAAGGTAGTTCAGTTAGATTTAATGACACTTTAATCCATAGACAACAACCAGATAACTGCAATATTACATGTACAGTGTTACAGAGAGCCATCCATAAATCATAAATTCTTGTTTTTAACATTAAATCACAAGACATGTCACTTTAAGACCAGAATACATTTTTTATAATTCTCATAAATAACAAAATAAAGAAGAGAGAGTTTCATGGCAGCACATGTACAGCTCAAGGACGGTAATGATTCAGTTCTAGGTGCACTCGGAGCCAGATGTTGCATCTTGCACATGTTAAATGTACCTTGCTGACCTTCAGGGTGGATAGTGTAATGTTTTTCTTCATTTGAATGGAATTAGAGTATCATCATCTTATTGTAGCTGCACACATGCAGTTAGAAAGCGTAAAGGTGAAAGACGTTTCACCTCGCTATTTTTTGTTTTTCGAGTTGTTCAGGCAAGAGTCAATTTAAAATTGCAGGATAGGTTATTGGTTTTGGCGAATGGTGTGCTCTCCAGAGAGGCTCTCTAGTTATTACTGAATCAATGGATCCTTGATTTTTAGCAGAAGTAGATCAAAGCAGGCTTCTTGTTTGTAGCAGCAACCTTCAGTTTTGTGGACTGAAACCATTTCACCTACAGTTAGCTGGTTAAAGTAAGCTAAAGAATATTGAAAACAGGGTCTTAAATATGAACTTTACTGCTACATATATGATCAAATATCTACTGAGCTTCTAGTGCTTGAATTCTGAGACCAGCCTGAGTCTTTTTAGCTCTATAAGTGGGTTGAGGCTTTTAAGTTGGTAGCAGATTACAAATGTTGTGCTATTTTAGGTAATATTAGTTTGGCTTGCTTCCTCTTATGTTTCGTTTTTCCAAGCCTGTTTGTCTTCCTCTGACTGCTCCTGTAAAATGATTTCAACAATTACTTCATACAAACACAAACAAATGCATGAAAGACAACTTTTAAATACAACAATGCCATGCATAAAGCTTCAGCATTGGAGATATTTAAACAGATTGCCTGGCTCGCTGATATTTAATTATTTGCAACACTAGACTAAACCTAAACTTTTCTAGCATGTATGCTTTTTCAGCATAACAAATTTTCTTGTTATACAATGTGCAGAAGGACATCATTCACCCTGAGGAGATCATTAATCTACGACACAGTTAACAAATGTGGCAAACTCTCAGCTCTCACGCTCAGCTATAGCCACTCTTCAAGTTATCTAAACAGGAATTTCTCTAGACTTCAGGTGGAAACATAGTCCGATTAAAACCCTTCCTCCCTTTGTTTGCTGCTACAACTGTTCATTCCTTCTCTTCATTCCTGGCCTGAAACGCTGCACAAAAGCTGACATTTGACTCCTTTGTTTACATGATGTGTTTTGTGTAATGAAACATAATGTTCTCGTTGCCAAATGAAGAACACATTGCGCATGAGATACAACATTTGACAGCTCATGCACCACAGAGCAAATTTTGCTGCTGTTTTGAAGCTTGATGGGCTGCGAAGAATCATCTACAGTTTAGTCTTTCACACTGAAGCAGTATGCACAGTGTGCCATCCTCGTATAGCACTTTTCATCAAAAACAATTTGCAAAGTTAAACTCTCTGTGTACAACAATTTACATACACAGTATTCTGATTTGCAAACGTACTGATTAAAAGCAGATTTAATAATATACATATATATATATAGATAATATATAGAAGAAGACGGCTGTAGTGATCGATGTAGCGGTTCCGAATGACAGCAATATCAGGAAGAAGGAACACGAGAAGCTGGAGAAATACCAAGGGCTCAGAGAAGAGCTCGAGAGGATGTGGAGGGTGAAGGTAACGGTGGTCCCCGTGGTAATCGGCAGCATAGGCATACGGTGACTCCCTCAAGCTAGGGCGAGTGCTCCAGCAGATCCCGGGAACAACATGCGGAGATCTCTGTCCAGAAGAGCGCAGTCCTGGGAACAGCTAAGATACTGCGCAGGACCCTCAAGCTCCCAGGCCTCTGGTAGAGGACCCGAGCTTGAAGGATAAACCGCCCGCAGGGGCGTGCTGGGTGTTTTATATATATGCATATATAGTGTAGGACCACACTGATTTTAATGATTTCACATTCATTAAAAAAAGCGACAGAATACTTACAATATTTTACATGGCAGATTAATACAATCATTTACTTTTACAGATCCTTAGAAAAAAATACCAGTACATTGAATATCGCGTAGAGCTACTATGAAAAAAGGCGCTCAAGTTTGGCATATGGCACAACACGTAGGCACAAGCAATTCTAGTGATTACAACAGGTGTTACTGTCCCGCTTGGCTAAACTTTTTCAGAGAAGTGACTCCACTTTAACCCATACCTGTTGTAATGGCTGCTTAACTATACACTGGTAAAAGCATACGTCTGCACTATTTGCTGCAACAGCACACACTGAAGGTTGTGCAGGACAGGCTGATGAAAGCTTTTTGCTGGTTTAGAGCATCCACAAGGATGCACTGTGGTAAACAAATAGACATTCGTACATATGTCAGAGTTTGCAGAGAAAGTACAATACTGTACTACATCTGTGCTTCATGGTGAAATCGTTACTGAGTGCAGTGCAACTCACAACTCATCTTCTTGAAGTGGCCAAAGTTTGAACGGCACTACGTAGATCACTCGACGGAAAATTCTGCTAATCAGGTGTAAAAGTGAAAAGCTGCTGATCTGATATAGAAGCAGTGTGAGGCGCTGTAATTAGCTATGAAAGACATTTTCTCTACGATCATGTCTTCATGCAGTGACAGAGGAAAAGAACCAACGATAAGCAGATCCTGTGCCGCGCAGCAACACGGTGATCTGTTCTTTTTAGACATCTGGAAAAAAAGTGGCAGACTGGTGTGAAGCCATATGAGCTTGACAAATACATTTAACTGATTAATTTTTTACACTATAATGAATTAGTTAATACGAGACTTTGATGAACGGGGCAGCTCTGTACAAAGCAGAAAGAACAAAACAAGACACATATACGTATCGGTGGCTTGTGAAAGTGGCTTTTATAGTTCTGTCAGTATATTTTTATGTTTACCACACATATTGAATCTGCGTAGTCCATTCAATACTAAGGTAACACAAATAGTTTTACCTCTCAACTTAGTGCAGAAACTTCAATTCAGACACCCTGATGTGGTAATGACTGGTTTTCTTTGAGTATAACTTGTATGAGTTGAGTATGACTACACGGTGGAGGTCCCCCCTGCAAATGTTAAAAACAGGACCATTCTTCTATATACATTTGTATGTGAGGTATGTGCATTCCTTTTAATCAGATGTGGTGGTGGTGGTGGTGGTGGTGGTGGTGGGGGGGTTGTTTTGTTTTAAAATAACACAGTGAAGGCTCCTGTACTGTCAGCAGTCCACATTAAAACAAATCCTGCTGCCATTTTAGGTTTCCAGCTACCTCAAGGCCACCTGGGCTGTAAGAAGGGGATTCAGCATTGTAGCATTGTTAACCTCCTTTGAGAAATTTGGTTGCATCTTAGTTGAATATTTTGCAAATCTCCTTTTGGCACAGTGATAGGCTAAAGACGGCTTATTCTCCCATGTGTCTCCTAATCATAGATCCTGAGGTCTATCATTTTTTGGCCCTGCAGGTGTGGAGCTGTTAACAGATTGAATTTAGGGATTGTTTTAGCTTAGACTCACACAGAGCTACATTTGAAACATGTGCATCCAGTAAAAAAAAAAAACATGCCACAAATCCACTTCACAAACAGTCCGGATGTGCTACCCAATCAATGTAACCAGTGTGTAAAAAAGCTTGCACAGCCATGTAGTTAGGTACACTAGCTGGCAGAGTAGTGGCCTGATGCAGTTACGCATTCTGGCTAAAATGTTCTGTGCTGTTGTGTCTTAGCCGTGTCCTGAATGGTTGTGTGAATGTGGCTTATGTGTACGTGGATAATCAGAGCCCCGTGGTGACCTGGGTGACTTCTGAGTTGAGATCGTCATTTGGAACACTGCCACAACAGCGAGAGTCCACTGACGACCCCTCCAAGGCTAGTCATACCTGCAGAGAAAGAAAGGACGTTTATCTTATTACACACTTTGTGAACCCATGGCCATGAGTTCACTAGAAATTCTTGGATAACTTTGAGGTTTGGCGATAAATTCATTATTGCTTTGTTGCTGAGAGTTTGATACTGCTTTTATCTTTGTAAAGCAAACATGACTGTTTCATTTAATGGTAGGTCCGGACATAGACACAAATTAAATGTAAACAAGAAGCACTGCAGCGAAGTGCAAGAAGTGCAGTCAGAGCTCAGCTCGCTAAATATTATGGAGACAAATTTACTTTTGTGGAAATGTTGTACATGCTTTCAAAAAGTGCATTGTACTTTGTTGTTATTAATGTGTTTAATAAAGAACCAAAAAAAAAGAATTATAAGAATTATAACAAATACATTTGAACCGAAAATGGCATATTTTTGAGTAAGGACTTGATCCTAATAGGTCCATCTGATAGGAGGATAAACTGAGATAGAAAGTGTACCCTACCATTGCAATTTCGAGACCCTTCAGTAGTCATATTAGTAGCAGTTATACACGTCAGAGTGGGAGCATAGAGGGCTGGGCTGGGACTGGGTTTAAAAGCCCACCAGTGAGAGGAGCATAATAAGAAACAGGTGAACGCAATCAGACGTTAATGAAGATAGTGAGAGAACAATGGGGGGAATTAAAAGCACCAAACGCCACATGAGAACATATTCTTCAAAATGTCTCACAAAATGAACAGAAAACACTGAGAGGGGGAACGCAAAAGGCACAGGAATAAAGGAAGGGAAGACATAAAACAAGGAGCTGCAACAGAAACCAGGTATTTTCAAATGTCATTTCCTCTAAACACTGTGCTGTTGAAATTCGCCCTGTTATGCAGTCGACATAGTTCACGGTATGAAATGATGCTACAGCCTTAGCTTAAGTTAGCCTAATGCTACAAGCAGGAATAGACATTTTTAACTTGGTTCTGTTCAAAATTAAGACTTGAGCCTCCCCTCATTTTTTACGGAAAAGAGAACTGGGTGAAGCAAATTTGTTGAAAAAAGGTTTAACATACGTGGAAACACAGTATTTAAGGCAAAACAGTGTGTTTAGGAAAAGAAAATGAAGCTATCACCGGTTAGATGCTTTGTGGTTTTACAAAATCTGACAGTACTTTTCTACATTCATAAAACCATCAGTTTGACAAAATCCCCCACTGGGTGAAATAAGCCTCAAACCATGGCAGAGCCTTCACCATGTTTATGCTTTGATTTTTCACACTGCAGCCAGTGAGAAATGATTCTTTCCCTCTCTTAAGAAAGCCTTCTCTATTGCCACCCTTCTATAGAGACCTTTACTGATGAGGCTACAGTGAAGGGGCGGATGCATCTCTCAGGTCCTGTGTCACGTCTTTGCTAGCTTTTTCTTTCTTTTTTTTGTTTCCGAAGAACATGACTTTCACATGTTGTTCATCTCCTTTTGTCCAGTTTCCTCCTTTTTTTTAAGGACACACCATACATGCAATAGCATTTTGAGAATCACCTTCTTGGTGAAAAACCAGAGCCATTTTCTGACTATCAAACTGTGTCATCTTCCTTTTGAAACTCGCTATTATTATACTATTTAAAAAGTTGTCTATGACTTGTATTCATGGCACTAGTTTGTCCTTTGAGTTAGGTGTCTTTCTAATGCTCAAGTGGTTCATAGGTCAGTGTTAACAAGCTTACCAAAAAAAACCCCACCAACACTAACAAATAAACCGCCTTGGAAATTGTCAGGCATAAGAGCTGGACTGAAAAGCAGCATATCCAGAGAAAATCTAAGAAAGACCTTAAAAACAAACAGGAGAACTGTTGTTAATAAAAATGTCAAGAAAGTCTGGCTCCTGGAAGCAAGATATGAAAAAATGAAGGCAGGCTCAAGACTTCTGCACAGTACTGCATGTCAGTTTAGATTGCACATACTTTTGAGGGGGCACAGTGACTTTCATTATCTCTGCTTCTGGCAACAAAAATTATGCAAGCCAAGCTTACCAGCTGTGCCACCAACTGTACAGATATTTGAAAGCTGTCGATGTTCTCCTCTAACATTGAAACACAGAGTGAAAGACTTCCACTAAATGCTCCTACCTAACTACTCCTTTAAAAACATTCAAGTAATACAGACACTGGTGACCTGTTGATTGGACCTTTCTCCTGTGTTTGCGCTGATGTGTTCACGCTGTGGGATCTTGCGGCTACTGGCTCCAGTCCTGGATGAATTCTGTATCTCCAACACTGAAGGACTTGGGGTGCAGAACTCACGGAAACAACGCTTGAAGTTCTCATCCAGGTAGCCATAAAGGATGGGGTTCAGACTACTGCAGGAGACAAAAAACAGGATCAAAGCTTATAACAAGCACAAAAATCAGCCTAAAGCTAAATTCAACTTTACTATATAATGTGGTTTCCTGATAACATTCTCCTATTATCCCGTCCTGCACCATTTTCCTTTTAAATGAATAATTCTAAAAACAATTATCCAGAATTTTGACGAAAAACAAAAACGGTGCATATTTTTCTCTGCTAGGCACCTGTTTGTGTAGCCGAGAGCGATGCAGAAATGCCAGGTGATAGTCTGGAAAGTGGAGTTGGGGATGGTGATCAGAGCTGAGATGATGACAAAGATGTGGATAGGAGTCCAGCAGACAATGAAGACGGCAACCACTACGAGGACCATGCGGGTGATTCGACGCAGATTCCTGTCTTTCTCCTGTGTGTGAAAAAGTTAGGCAGATTAGTGATGGGTACAAGACTGGTGAAAAGATGAAAAAGAAAAAAAACTGGAGAAGGCAGGATGGCAGGGAAAGATAAATAATAACGAAAGAATGACAGAGCAGAGAGGCTAGTGTGTGAAAAGGATGGAGATTAGAGAATGTAATCCTGAAAGGGAGGATGAGAGAGTAAGAGGAGAGAATTAAGAGCTATAGGCAGTAACAAATCCTGTGTACAAGAATGTTTACTCTTCCTTTTATTTCTGCTTTTGGATGTTTTCATTATGCAACAACTCAAATACTTAGTGAAAGGTTACTGTCGTGCATTCCAGTGTGGTGTTACCTTACCATTTATCTCCCCCCTTTGAATAAAAAAAGACAACTAGCTTTGAGGCATTTTGGTCATTAGACTCTTGTGTTGAAAAAATTGTGATTTGCCTTTGTATGTTTATGTTTTTCATTAAATCTTTATTCATTCAGAGAAAGCTGATGCTTTTTAAAGCATGGCAGCAGAATTTTCATTCTACCCATATTCATGCTAGTGAGCACTAAGAGGTTAATTAAAACTAAGCCGCAACCTCAGGCTTAAGTTGATTTTCCCTAATTACTTGGACTTGAGAGTGATGAGAGCACCATATTTGCAAGCATGCTCTGGGCAGGTTGCTATTGTGCCTCATTATTCTGAAAAATAAAATCAATTAGGTTTATACCCAAGGTTTAATAATTTTAGAAAATGCACAATTTGCATCTAATTAAATCCCCTTGACAAAATGCAAAAAAAGAGAAAGAAATTATATATGCAATTTTGGGGCTTTTGAAAGAAAATGCCTTTTTCCAACCTGGGAGCCCGACAGCATTCGCACGCTCTTTAGCCGCAGGATCATGAGGCCATAGCAGACAGTGATGATGAGGACGGGCATGATGAAGGCAAAGATGAACACACAGATCTTGAGCAGGGTGTCCCAGTACCAGGCAGGGTGGGGGAAATTCAGCTTGCAGTCCACTATGCCTGTGTCTGTGCAGGTTGAGAAGACACAGGATAAAGTCATCATAAACATTCATCATATGCATGTGTATGTATTTAACACAAACTCTATTTTTGCTTACTGCCTATTTTTTATTTTATTTTTTAATCATCATTGAAAACTATTTTAAAAATTACTGATTAGAAAATGAACTGTGGAAATTACTTTCATAAGAGTCCAAATTTTTCCATTCTTCACTTTATGAGAAGTGGTTGATTATAATCACTTTCAGTTGCAATATTTTATTATTGGACTCTAATGGTTAGATTGCAGTTCAAAATAATACCTATTATACTAAATAAACCCAGGCTGGGTCTTGGTGCAGCTCCACAGTTAATCAGCTGCCTAAAATATGGTGTTTTACAACCCCCACCCCCCTCACATTAAGGTAGCTTTCTTCTAATTGGCTTTCTCTTGTAAACAGAAACATTGAACAGAAGGTGTGCTCGCAGACAGAGCAGCACGCTCGAAACGACCATATAAAGAATCTCCACTTCCACTGACATCATACAGAGCCAAGAGCAGCCTGAGCTTTTGGGCTTGTAGGGCTTACGTATATAACCTGACCTCAGTATTTGAAACTTTGGGTATGTATACTATGAGCTCTATAGTCTCAGCATACACAAACATAAGATAGGATATAAACAGATCTATTTTAACTGCCTCTTTAAAATATGAAAATGCAGAAAAATAATTTTTCAGAGGGCAGTGTGACATCTTCAAATCGTGTTTTTTCTAAAACTAATTATGGAAAGCAAACACAACCAAAGAAGAAGCAATATCCCACATTAAAGAATCCTGTGGCTCATTTAGTGGTGTGTGTGTGTGTGTGTGTGTGTGTGTGTGTGTGTGTG